CAGGCGCTCCCCAGCCACTCCTCCCCCAGCCTGGAGCGTTCCCTGGGGCTGTTGTGACCCCAGAGCAGGTCCTGGCCCTTGGCCTTGTTCACCCTCCCACTGCTGACTTCTGCCCATCAGTCCAACCCCCCCAGGTCCCTCTGCAGAGCAAGAGATTTTCTCCTGGCAGACTTTGAGTGCTGCAGGTCCTTCCCCTGGTGCAGACCTCACTTCACACACCCAGGCTCACTGGAGAAGAAATCAGCCAGGCACTCCCCCCATCCTGATGCTGCCCACGCTGGAGACCGTGTGCCCACCACCCCCTGTGCCTGTGCCAGCAGGGAGACATGGCACACCCTGCGTGCCAGGCAGGCCCCGTGGGCAGGCACAACTCCCCTGACCTCACTGAGGACCTGGCCAGCTTCTGGCAGCTGAGGACCCACTTCTGTGCCACCACCACCCACCGTCCCCTCATCCCCCCCTGCCCAGGCTGGGGCAGGCTGCTCAGGGATGGGTGGCAGGGCTGCCTGGCAGAGCTGGGACTGGCTCTGTGAGGAGTTCAACCTTCAAAAAGCCACTATAAAAAGATGCAGGTCTCATAACACCCCGGGCTGCTCCACACACATGCTTCAACCATGTTAGGGGCCACAGAGTAACCCGACCTGCGGGTGCTGGGTGAGCTGCAGGAATAACAGTGTGCCCGTGCTGGTGCAGTGAGTGGGACACAGCTCCAGCCTGCCCAGCAACGTCACCCCCGGCCCCCCACGGCCACACAGGGCTCCCCACAACGAGCCCCAGCTCCCTGCCCAGGGAACAGGGGCAGCAGGGCTCGGATACAGCCTCCCAGGTGGCCAAAGTGGGGGGCAGAGGGCTCGGGGCAGCGTGGCTGGAACACAGCCAGACTGCTAACCCTGCTTCCCAGCAGGACTCGGAGCCCCCACACTGCTCCCTGGCCCCTCCAAACCATCCCCAACCTCCTCAGCTCTGTCCCTTCTCCTGCACCATCAGCTCCTGCAGCTCCCCAAGAGCCTCTGGGTCCCAGGCAGGCCCTGCTGCCCCTGTCCCCTGCAGCTCCAGGAGCCATCCCACACAGTCCCTCCCTGCCAGGGCGAGGGGTGGCCCTGCCCATGGCCGGGGCAGCTGTCACACAACACACCACAGGAGCTCCCAGGCTGTCAGGGCTCTCTGGAGATCATTTAGTTCAAGTCCTCAGTGCTCAAAGATGGGTCAGCTTATAGCCCAGAACTTTGTCCACACGGGTTTGAATGTCTCCAAGGACTCCACAAGCCCCCCAGGCACCCTGTGCCAATGTTTGGCCACCTTCCCCAGGAAAACTGGGTGCAGCAGCAGGTTGCCCAGGGTGTATGCAGGGGCTGCCTGCCCCAGGACACACAGAGCAGGCAGCTCTGCTGCTGGGGTCTTTTATAAGGGCTTTTTAAACATCAACCACCTGTAAGGGTGTCCTCCAGAGGCCTGTCACAGCCATGCCTTGTGGAAG